CTCCAGCCCCCCACGACCCTAGTGAGGATTAAGCGGTGTATAGATAATGGATGGGTGGATAATTTGATTTTGCCTTAAAAACTGCACTGATTCATTGCCATAGTTTACTACATAAGAAATGAACACATTAACCCATATTTCCTTCCACAATGGCCAACTACAATTCAGTACAACTTAGACGTCAATACAGCGCTATTAATAGTCTAATAATATAATGTAGTAGCTACATGACACCCTGAAAACAGCAATCATGTGCAATGAGTACTTTTACTCTTGAATTGGAATACTAGTACGTTTTGAGTCTGTCATTGCCTGACAGGACATCAGTGAGATGTTCCTTTCATGTTGCATTTAAGACTATGGGAAACTGCACCACCATAACCAGTCACAGATGAGATTAGTTGCGTGTAATGGTAAAACCCGATCTCAGTTTTTAAAGCGCGCTTGCACAGATTTATCTCTTATTTGTGAATCTAAATAACATTAGAATTTCTATGCCACGCAGTTATGAGATGTAACTGTTCTCTAAGTTCTCTAAGGGGCTATTCATGAAATCGTCTTTACCATTTCCAGATTTCCACTATCATAGTATACTATAACACACTACACTATTTTATAGTACATTACACTATGCAGTACTATACTATTCTCTACTGTACTATACTATATTAGTAATGATGCTATACTATACTATGCTATGCTATGCTATACTATACTATACTATACTATACTATACTGCAGTCTACTATACTATATTATGCTACACAGTACTATACTATACTACAGTCTACTATACTGTACTACACTGTACTGCAGTCTACTATACTATACTATACTATACTATACTATACTGCAGTCTACTATACTATATTATGCTACACAGTGCTATACTATACTATACTATACTATATTATACTACAGTCTACTATACTGTACTACACTGTACTGCAGTCTACTATACTATACTATACTATACTATACTATACTATACTATACTATACTATACTAGTAACTATACTATACTACACAATGCTACACTATAATATACTATACTACATTATGCTGTACTATACTGCACTCTATTTTACTGTACTATGCTGTGCTCTACTATACTATACTGGGTCTTTCCAGTAAAATTCTACAAAATAAACCTTCAGGTAACGTTCCTAAAAGGTTCCCTTAAGGTTCCTGTTTGCTGGGTATGGTCTCACCAAAAGAGGGAAGCGGTCCAGTTTCCGATGACAGTGAACGCACCACCACAATCCCGGTTCTCCATCTTCCTCTTAACAGGCGAAGGACCAACCTGCGTCTTACAGCCACTGGAATACATTCCCGCTGACAAACACTCACTCACCCAGGTACCTGAAACATTTTACACTTCAGAATCTCTCTAACGTTGTTGATATTTCTGTGTGATATGATGTAGATCCGTGGACCGGGCAGCTCATCGTCTAGCTACGGTTAGGTAGCTCCTGTCAGCAGCACTGGGAACTGGGCCGCTGGCCACTTTCCTGGTTTGATGTCAGATTTGACTAAATGATTTAATGAAATATAGCATACAATATTTGAAGCAGCCTGCCGATGCTACAAACCCCGCAGCTGGTTGTATTTGGGGGATTTTAGCTGCTGTGTCGCTGGAAGCAGCTGATGCAGTTAGCATGTAGCTAACGTTAGCAGAGTGAAACCTCTGTGCTCAAGTTAATTGAAGCTAACTGGATGTTGAAGAGAGGTCAAACGTTGTCACGAACACTAATACGCCGTTTTAAATGTCACGACCAGTGTAGGGTTAGTTCTAATTAACAGTGAAGAAGATTAGTTTAACAAACAGCTGCTTTAGTAAACGCTGGAACCGTTTAATCGTTCAGGATATAACGTTAGCTACGCTTAAAACACGTAGAAATGTATCGCCCTGTTGTGTGACGCTAACTAGCTAGCATGTGAAATAACACCGAATCATAAATAAATACTGATTATCATGCAAACAAAGGCTCTGACTGTCAGTTTAAATGTGAAATATTGAAGCTTGTAGCATCCAAACACACGTTACCTAAACGCTAGTGCCTTTTAGAGCTGCAACGATTTATCGATTAGCTGTCATCTGTTAAATTAATCGCCAACTACTTTCATAATCGACCACATTTCAAAATGCTCAGATTCCAGTTTCTTAAATGTGAATATTTCCTATATTCTTTACTCTTATATGATAGTAAACTAAATATATTTGAGTTGTGAAAAAAAAACCTGACACTGATCAACACTTTTCACCATTTTCTGACATTTTATTGACCAAACAACTAATCGATTATTCCTGATAATAACTGACAGATCCATTGACAGTGATAATATTTATTAGTTGAAGCTCTAGTGCTCTGCTGAGACAAACATCAGTCACTGTGGGACTTTTATTTTGTGGGTTCTTATTGAATTTGTGTTGTATGTGTTTCCATTTATGCGAGCAAATGAGAAGCCTTATGTTGACATAAATTGCATGGCCTATGGTATGTGGAAGCCTGAACATTTCATGTTGTTGATTATGTCTTTCTATAACAGGAGTAATTTATGCTCTGCATTCACACTTCTTAAGGAGGTTTTTCACAACCTTGTGAAACTTGGCAGCTATGGATTAGTTTCTCCCTTCATGCATGTAGTTTTAAGAGGAGATGCCTTGGATTTGTCCCCCACAATAATTAGAAGACATTTGCAAAACTGCTGAAGCATTACTCACTGACACAATGCAGATGTGTGCACAGAGGGCACAAATTGGAGTGTTAAGATTCATCAGATGGCAGGAAATTACGTGTTTGATTCTCATAATTTCCTAGAGGAGCCCCCCCTGAGAGTCCCATTCATGTGTTATCCCCAGTGTTCAAACGAAACCTACATCCATGACTTCTTTTTCGCCATATCAGCATAAGTGAGGCTGAACGTGTGTTGACGGGGATGAGGCCAGACTCACATTATGCGTTGTATTTCATCTCAGAGGTGTTGCAGGGGGTTTGAGGTGAGGGCTCTGTGAAGGCCTGTGAACCAAACTACAAAAACAATTTCTTTAAGGATCTCAGTTTGAGAATAGGGTGTTGTCTTTTTGGCTTGGGAGGTCTGGCTCTAGAATGTTGCCACAAAGTTGGAAGCTGCTGTGCAAAAACAGAGAGTGATTGATTACAACATGTATGCATACAAGAGTCATGTCTCACTAAGACAAGGACAAAAAAATTGAAATCATCCTCCATTTTATAGAGAACTTAGTGTCTCATAGTCCTCTCAGCAGTCAGTCTTTCTGGGTTTTGCATCACCATTTTAACAAAGTTTTGTTCACTAACAAGACAAAATGTGGCTTCATAAAATTAATTGCTCCTTGAAACCGGGTTCTCAGAGTGACATCTGCCAGAGAGACAACATAGGGCCTCTTCTGCACAGGCACCCCCAAAATATGAAAAGCAACAGCAGATCATTGTGTGTTCTCCACCAAACTTTACAGCTGGCACTGTGCATTCAGGCAGCTTCCAAACCTGAAATGGTCCACAGTGCTCCCACATAATAAAGCCTGATTCATCTTTATAGATGTGTTCCCAGTGCTCCTCAGTCCAGTGTCAGTGTCCTTTACACCCCCTCATGGGACCTTTGGCATTGTGCATCGTGATCTTAGGCTTGACTCCTACCCCACCATGAAAAACCACGTCACAAAACTGCTGTGTTCACAACAGTGCTGACATTGCATCCCAGTTCAGTTTGGAAGGGTTTCAAATTATATGTTGATCCCGTTCTGCAAGCTCTTGTGGCTTGCTGCTTCATGTGAAGAACTGTTGTTGCGTCCGTGTCACAATAACAGCACGTACAGATGAGTGTGTCAAACCTAGAGAAGCAGGAATCTGACAAACAGACTTTTGG